GAGAAGCAGAACTCTTGAAACTGCTGTGGAGATTACTGGTGTGCATTCATATAGAAGAACCACCCTGGTAGAAGGCTTGGTGGACGATGTATCCAGGACCATTCACTCCAATTACACAGGAAACACACATATTCCTGAATCTGGTCATATGTTGACTGGAGATTTCATCAGAGAGGACCATTCAAATGCAATGCCACTCTATACAGCAAATTCTGCTGTCCCTTTATGTCACATCACTGACCCTCAAACATCCAGCAGCTGGCATTAGTTGGATACAATTTGAGGTCTGGCAAGTTTTCCTTTGACAGTTTTCCTATAGTGACAATATTACATGGAACTGGAAAACGTCCACACCCTAGAAGGCTCTCTGCTGAGCTTAGGGACTGTGGTTTCTCCTGAAGAAAACTCAACCTCTGCTGTTAGTTCCAACTCCAAAGGGAGAATAGTAAAATACCAAAGGAGGTTAAGGTTGGGGGGCAAAATCGGGAATGGAGTGTGTGTTCCCCTTTGATCAGGAGTGAATGGCCTGGGAGATTGGGTACCAATTTGCCTCTCAGTATCCTAAAACAGAAACTGTGGTATCGACACGGGGCGCCAGTCCCAGCTACAACGTCCATGGTAAGTTTAATTGAAGTTTGTAGAACTAATTCATGCACTGGTGTAAACAAAAATGGTTGTACATCCTGGTGTCTTACTTGCTAAACCCAACTGTGTATCTCATGGCTAGGAGTAGGGCTATAGTCTGTATGAACAAGGTGGTAATGCACAGATGGTCTTCAGTCTAAGGTAATATGCAGTGGCGTAGCAACTGGGGAGGGATGCAGTATAACTGAAGTCATAGTTGCTGAGTGACCAGTTTATCAAGAGTAGGCTTGCAACCTGGACAAATATTGAGCCAATAGGCCAACTCTAGTATACTTAATGATTGGATGGCCATATTCACGTAAAATAACTACAAATATGATTGTCTCCTACTCACTCATTTTCCTATTTGGAAAAAAAACAGCAGCAAAAGAGGTTGAGGCTATTCATGCATAGCTTTGTGATACATCCAATCTGTTAAGATTGAGCCTCCTTCTTACTAATCCTGGTGTGACAATATTGAGCAAAGCTTGGTTAACCCTGACAGCCATTAATTGCCGAGTTGCTGTCTGTAATCTGTGGGCTTTCCCATTTGTCATCTGTCACAGGGAAAAAGACAAATCTAGTCAGATAAAGCAGAATTCTGCTGGAATTTTTCAGGTGTTTATGCATTTAAATGCCCAGCATTGGCTCCAAATTGTCCACCAGTGGTTTGGGAATCACTTCTGGAGTAGCATCTCAGGAGGAGTTTGTGGCAAGCACCCTTCCCGTACAAGAGGCACATGGGCAACCTGTATGCCCAGGAATTAAGAAAGTACATGTATCTTGCATGTCATCTGGAGACATTTCATTTCTCCTCTGTAGAGAGATCAGAAGCCAATGGTCAGATCTCTGGAATCATGAAACTTATGAAGAATATTGCCGTCTGCTACATTGGTAGACTTGACCGTCCAACATCCCTCCTCCAAGCTACGCCACTAGCAATGCCAAAAGTAAAATCTGACTCCAAAATACCCTCTTGATGTTGTAATTGAACAATCTTGATCAAGGTTATGACAAGTGTTTTTTCTCTTTGCAAGAACTGTATTATTCTTTGATAAATTGAATATTGGAATATTCTTTGAATCAAGGACCTCATATTTTGGCTACAGATAAGCTTACGGTAAACCTAGAAGCTTGGAAGATCAATGGTTGAATAGTTGACCATCCACTGTTCCTAATGCAACGTTGAGTGCACAGTGTCTAAACTCACTGCATCACAATTTGCGTAATATTCCAAACCTTTTCCATCAGATAAATTGGCGGATAAAAGTAAAACACTTGACATCAACTGAAGAGATAATGGCTTATGAACTGCTGTCATTCTATGAACATTCTAGTCCAAGCTGTGTTCCTCTAATGGATACCACTGCACCCAGTGTACCATTCTCAGACTGGTAGAAGACTTGAACCCCAAGCTACATGTATGCCTACATGTACATCAGATATGTATGGGTGTCATTGTTGAAGTAGTTTAACCAGAGTCCATATAGAGTCTATCTTCTAGTATCCCTGTGTGATAAAGTCAAGTTTTTATCAGTGCCTTGATCAAGACCATTTGATTCAAAGAGAAATGCATCGATCAAATCATGAAATAAAAAATACCAATCATCAGATTTTCTTTTGATCTGCAAGTCATTTCCAAATCTGGATACAATAATTGCAGTGTCATGTATTGCAAAACTTTGAAGCCCCATAAACAGTTTGGATATTTATTGCCTTAGACTGAAGACCATCACGCTCCATGTAGTTTGTTGTAAATGTGACCCGCTCTGCAAAACAGGGTAATAAGTCGCACAATGCCAAAACATGTTACGAGCCGTTCTATTTGGAGAGGGCAAAATTTCTTTTAAAACATGATTTTGTTGTTTCCTTTCATAGCTTTTATAACATATTTTCAGAATTTGTGATTACAAACATGGATACTAATGAAGAAAGATGAAAAATTGATCATGGAGTAGGAAATCCTACATAGCATTGTGTTTCCAAGTGCTACACCTTCTGAACTTTCCCAAAAAGTGCTTTTATTGAATCAAAAAATGTGGATATCTTCAGAGCGCAATACGCTAGAGCGGTCATTTATATATCAAAATGTAGCTTTTGATATACACAATCCAACCATATCAAAAACTCCTAACCTGAATCTGGCGACTTATTACCCATTTTTCTAGAGCCGGTCACAAATATATAGGATGAATATGTGTGTCTGTGGGCGTAGTTTGAACCTGGAGTCTGGGTGGAAGTTTTTGTGGCATCCACATCTGAGTCTCATTTCTCTAGGTACAATATGTACTCAGTTGTGAGTCAAGAAGGTCAGGTCTGGTTAAGGGTTAATTTCTTGAGGGTGAGAAAAGTGTTTGCATTTACTGAACCAACCACTATTATTCCATCAGCACTGAATCGGTTACAGACTATTCGTTTCCAGTTTAGTCAGAGAAATGTGTTCTTATGACTATAAACAATTTGATTCAATGAAATTCATTGCCCTTAAATGGAGCCATCTGGAGCGAATAATGAACAG